ATAGTAAAAGATTTTCTTTCACTATATTACTTAGCAATGTTAATTAATCTTTTTGAACAGAAATTTAGGCGCAAAAGGAGGCTGCGGGGATAGGTATTTTAACCAATGAATTTCCACGTGATTTCGAAATCTGCGAGCATCGGTGACTGAGCACCGGGTCTATTGAAATAATTGATCCATAGGTGAACTAATTACTAGCTATGGTGCTTGAACCGCGGTTTACATTAGCGATGGCACAACAGCACGAAGCCGCGAAGCCTGAGGATGTATATGTGCACGCATAACGTTGATCCGTCGAGTGCCTCGCGAATCTATGTGAATGTTTCCCGTAATTAGGATGGCTGTCGTACGTATACACGTACGCATCAATGTGTCGTGATTAATAGACATGTATATAGCCACAACCCTCAGCTATTTCCTCCCTATTTCGTGCGAAGCAAAGGATGAATTTCATATCACAATAGTTTCCTCTCTCATGTCCAATTATTACGAACTATTTACAAGATAATTCACGAGCCATGTAATGATGTAATCTGTTTTGAAGATGATTTATTATATTTTTATTTATAATTATTATTTATTACCCTCCATTCTCTCTTTCCAAAATTTATTTATTTTGAATGCTGATTCTCGTAGACGTCCTGAATTAGAATTGAATAAAACTAAAATGATAATATGTCTCGTTGCCGGATATTCAAATCAGTGATTAATGATTGTAATTATGTAATGAATAATCACAAGCAATGAATAACAGGAATATCCATATTTGGTTATTTCTATGATTTATTAATCATTGTTTGATGAATGTGTGATTACATAATAATTGCATAATTAATAATTACAATTACTAGCCAACAATGTGATAAAAATTCGCTCACTTAGGAATTGCGTTTAAAAAACAATTGTGACTCGTCATCAAAAGTAAAATTTCTATTTCCATTTGCATAATACTCGACTATAAAATTATCCAAATACAAAATTGTGTCATGAAAATCACGCGTTGTTATTATTATGCGATAACTCTTTGTGCAACGATGTATGATCAACTGGAAATATCAAGAAGAGAAACAAGCATGAAAACGTGAGGCTATTGGATTTTCACTTGACGCCTTTCCGGGATAAATTCGAATCCTTTTTGGAAGCATGCGCGCGGCGTATGTCCGCGGCAAAACTGTCTGTACACATGTGTTCACAGAGGAAAATATACGTGACTCGTATACAGATTATATGATATTTCGTATGATTTTTTGGTATCAAGCGAAAACTTGGAAGACTGCTTTGTCGAAAAGAAATCCATTTTGTTGGGTTGAATATTTTTTCGATGAAAATTATTAGATAAATACTTCACAAAAAAAATATTTTAATCTTTTTCGGTATAAATTATATAAAATATAATTTTATAATTGATTTGTTTTATATATAATTCAGAAATATATTATAACAAAACAAAATAATATATTATAGATGTTTCTTATTTTATTAATTAAATAACAAACCCTAAATATTTAATGAAATAAATTTTTTCTCTCTCTTTTTCAAAATTTTAATTCAAGTTTTAATTGAATGTTCAATGTTAGAATTATATAGATTATAAGGAAATTGTAATAGATTTTAGTTTACAATAACAAGGCTATTGTGAAAAATTCAGAAGTACATTGGTATTACACTGATTGAAATCCTTCACAGACAAATGAACGAAAAAACGTAGAGAACATGAGAGAAAACACGCAAAAGAAGCTTGCTCGAGTATTCGCCGACCATACGGAATAAATTCTCGCTCGAATCGGAAAGGTTTTTCAGGGAAAATGCCGACGAGAAATATTTGCGGGGAAAAGTGCGATGCACTACTGTCTCTCGGGTTTTTAGTCCGTGACGGTAACCTTCGGGGAATGTGGCTTTTTACCACTTCACAAAGCAACAGAAATCATTATCATAAGAAATTACGTTTGGGCTTTAGGGTGACAACTGGCTAGAAAAGAAGAAAAAATAAAATGTAGATTAGAATTATCCAACTTGTACTATGTTGCATGCAGTTTATCGCATATTAATATCTCAAATGAAATACTTCTTAAGAATTGACTCACCGAATACATGAACTCTTTTTTTCAATAAATTATAAATAATGCAAAATATAATATGGGGGGGAATTCACAACCCAAAATTTTGTACACCAATGCCGATTTTTGGCATTGCTGTAAAACACTGCCGACATTTTCGTACACTGCCGACAATGCTTAGTCAATACCTACAATGCCGTCAATCCTATATATAAATAATATAAAATTAAGGCAATGCCATGCAATTATGAACACTGTCGCGTACTGCCCATTATTATACGTCAATGCCACCTCTATCAAGTTAACCCCCCCACTATTGCAAAAAAATCCGCACTTATTAAAAAATTTAGTGCTATTTATGTGCTGTTGCTCTAGTCCGGATTTTGTTGCTCAAGCCGTTTAGCAGGAAACGGCGATCGAAATGGGGGGGGGGCAGCTTGTCGTCATAATAAAAAACCTATATAGAGTGCTCAAATCCAAAAAACAAATACACCAGAATTTGTTGCTTTTTTGTTGCTCCAAGATAGCGTGAAAACATTTTTGAAATATAACGTTTTTTTAGAAAATACGGTAGGGGAGACCGGGGCTAACTCGACACCGGGGCAAACTTGACACTAGGCTTTTTGGCAATTTAAATCTATCGTAGAAACTTGCCTTTCCTATTGTAAATGCGTCTTTATGTGCCAGTATTATCAACGGAATTTGGTAACATTCTGAGTTATAGTGTAATTTTTAACGCGACATAAGCGTTTTTGATAGTGAAAAGTAATTTTTTTGATCTCTCGAAAATGGTCTACTCTTTCATCGAGCTTTCGGGCAAAACTAAGCGACGTACAGCAAAATTTTCTTAAGCAATTTTGTACCTGAAGGAACGCTCTTTAAATGTGTACCATTAAATTTGTTTGAAAATTTTAATTAATTGTTGAAAATTGCCTTTAAAAAAATTGTGTCGAGTTAGCCCCGGTCTCCCCTACGTAAGTATATCCGAATACTTAACAGACAGCACTATATTGACTACATCTTAAACAACATTATATTTCCAAAATATTTTTACACTATCTTAAAGCAACAAAATAGTAACAAATTCTGGTATAAACATTTATTCGATTTGAGCACTTTATATATTTTTTTTCGCATGGTGAGGGGTCAGCTTGACACAGAGATTCTAGCCCCACCACATACTAAAAAACACATATAGAGTGCTCAAATTTAAAAAAACAATACACCAAAATTTGTTGCTTTAAGATAGCGTAAACAAATTTTCAAAATATAAGGTTCTATAAACAATGCCACTAATAAATACTGCATCTTCGACCTTTATCTACAACTTCGATGGCTAAAAACTAAGTAAAAGAATTTGTTGCTTGGCTCTTTTTGGTTTTAAAGTATTCTATGGACCGTGCCCTATTAGAATATGCAACTTACGATTTTGTTGCTCGCCCCTAACTGCAAGTAAACAAATTATTTATCTCCGCGTCGACCGTTATCTGCGACTTTGATGGCTAAAAACTAAGTAAAGGAATCTGTTGATCGGCTCTTTTTGGTCTTAAAACTATAAAGTAAAAGAATCTTTTACTTATTGTTAGTTTTTAGCCATCACAGTCGTAGATAACGAGATAACGGCCGACGCGGAAATAAATAATTTGTTTATTTGCAGTTAGGGGCGAGCAACAAAATCGTA